TTCAGCAGTTGGTGCCCATGGGGCTGGATTTGTAAAGGATCGTCATCCAGCTGAGTCCTACTTAGTAACAAGCTTTCTAAGTCTGGAGGTACCTTTTCCTACATCTCCCTTTGGATAATGGTGATCACGAAGCTTTATTGCTAGGTGTAAGTAGTGATAGGACAAGGGGTAATGGGTAAAAACTTAAACAGGGGAAGTTTAGATTGGTATAAGGAGGAAGTTCTTTACTCTAAGGGTGGTGAGGCACTGGGATGGGTTGCCCAGGGAAATCGTGAATGCTCCATCCCTGGCAGTGTTCAAGGCCAGGTTTGAAGGAGCCTTGGGTGACATGGTTTAGTGTGAGGTGTCCCTGCCCATGGCAGGGGGGTTGGAACTAGATGATCTTAAGGTCCTATCCAACCCTAACTATTCTATGATTCTATTCTATTAAATATCAGAGGATGAAATCATCACCATAAAGATTAGATTTATTTTCTTTTATAGATATATTTTTACATCTTCAGGGACATAAACATTCTAATCCTTATTTTCATATAATCATATAATCATAGAATTATAATTCTTTTAGAATCATAGAAATATGATTCCTCCCCCCACTTCTCTCCCCTGGAGTCCAGTCTTTGGTTTGTGGGATACGAAGTTGCTTTGTTTCTTTCGATTGAAAAGTAACAGAGGACTTGTTCCTTTCAAGTATGAAGCCATAAGGGTTTTTCTTTTCTGAGAGAGATAATTTGCAGCTTTATTCTTTTTTAAACCCTTAAAAAATTAGATTTTGTATGGCAACAAAAACATCTTGTTCTCCTGTGTTGTTTATCTACCTGTTAATTTATGTGAACTAAACCAGAAGATTAATTTCACCTAGAATTGCCTAGAAATGTTTATAGGTATTACAAATCTTAATTAATGCTTTTTCCTTTTGGAAGAAAACATTTATAAATCTCTGATCCACTTTCTTTTACAAAATTTCCTATACAAAATACTTGGCAAGAGCCTGTATGGTGACCTGGAATCTGGCGTCCTGAAAGTTTAAAAGCCTATTTCTGTAACTGGATGCAAAACTCTAAAGTGAAAGAAACTGTAACTTGTACTACCCATGAATTATTAGCATTGTAAATTATGCTATTTGATACTGTGTTGCATGGCAATCTACAGTGAATTATTGTGTGTTTATACTTCACCCCTTACTTTGTTTTCCCTGCCACCCTGTTAACCATTTGCCCTGGGATTTCAGACCTCTTGTCTTACAGCTCTGCTGTAAATATTTGACCTCTCATTCTCTCATTTGTCTGTTTTCTCCTGCTGAGTCTTTTCCTCTTCTCATAAAAGTCAGCTGGGGAGACATCAGGCCATTGAGCAAAAGCCTGTCGTGGGCAGCTATCCAAGTTGGGCTGTGAAGCTCTGCCCCTCCACAGGTCACATCCTGACAGAGGATGCTGCCATCATGGCAGGCTCTAGGCAGAGGGAGATTTCCTCAGTGTTACTAGAAAGGACAAGGGTCCTTCTACAGCCAGCTGTTACCAGGGAGAGACTAGTAAACAAGGCAGATGCGTAGCACCTTGCCTAAATGGCATTAGAGGTTCAGTGTAAAATCTGCTTATGACACTAGTTTCCAAAATTACTTCTCCCCAGACAAAAAAAAGTACAACACTTTGAGGAATATTAAGAATCTTTTATTTCCCCCATGCATTCACCTTTGTTTCACTGCAGGATGTTTTGACCTTTAAAAAGAAGATTATGAAAATAATAGGTCCAATAGCCTAAAGGACTTCTGCAATCCATATGTATATTCATTCTGTGTTGGTTAATGAAACACTTGGAAAAAGAATGAAAGTGAAGGTTCAGGTAGTTTCTTACAAGTGTGAGACATTAGATCAGTTTCAGGAAGAATACAATCTGCAGTAAAATGGCTCAAATACAGGTATACTACTACACAGCCATTTGCAAGGGTCTTTTCATTATTACAGCACATCGGTTAGGTTACAGATCTGGTAGCTGTAACATAAACAAACAAAAATTCAAAGTAGTACACATAGGGAAAAAAATCCACAAAACAGAAAAAAAAAACCTCCAGAAAAAACCCAAAACTTAAATATTTCTTTATTTTGATAGCATCTGTTGTTTAACAGCATCACTTTAGCCAAAATAGTCTTTAAATGGTCAAGATTAATTTAGCTTTACAAAGATTCTCTCTGACCTTTGCACTGCCTGGGTTACAGCAAGACACATAATAGCTGCCGGTGAGGGCTCCAGTCTTACAAGCCATGAGAGAACATCCTGCCACAGATAGTCCCCTTATTTAGATAAACTGTATGGCCAAGGTTTTACAGTTCTGTTCCAGAGCTGTTTTCTGACAGTTTCATCTAATATTCTCACCACCTCCTTCCAGACTATCTTTAATTCCCAAGACCAGAGAGAGCCTCTTATTTTTCCCATTACAGTGACTCCTTGACTTGCCTTAGAATTAATAGGCCCTGTGCTCTTACCATGCTTTCTTTACTTCCCTCAGCACATGACTGGGGATCTATATTTCCTTTTGTTTCTGTAAGCTGATTCTCTTCAGTAAGACTTGCTTACTCCAGTCAATACACAGGCTTGGAGCACATGATAAAATTGATTCCCCTGACTAGTCCATTGGACGCCTGGCCTTTTATAGATTCTTATCACCTGCCTGGGCTAGTCACAGGTAATGGCTCTCAGAATAAACCTTTTGGGCTGTTTTAGTTTTTACCAGACAGTTACTCTTTACTGCTGCCACGTGGGAGCCACTTCTCTCATGCTTTGGATGATATGGGGAGTATCACCAACTAAATCATTTATCTGAGAGATCAAGATAGACGTTGATGTGTCAGATGTACTGCATTTTATTGTAACTCCATCAAGTGAGCTTTTAGACACTCCAACACAGGTGCCATGCTAGTAATGTTTCCATGATCTCCAAAGCCTTTCTAAGACTATTTCTACATAGGTTTTGTGGGAAATTTAGTTATTAAGTTGCCTGCAAGCAGGCCTATGCTTTCTTCCTTAAATAAAATACAGACATTGGAAACTGCAAATAGAAAGTTATCTTGAAGACAGATGTTTTATTACAGCATTCAGCAGAAGCTTGCTTACAGCTTATGTCAAGACATCCATACAAGTAAGGCTTCAGAAAAAAAAAGTTAAATTAATAGTTATTACATTATGGTTGTTTAACAACAAAGTTTGTTAATATTTCTGCTAAATGCAAAGTTGCTTTGCATATTAAAGAGAAATGAAGATACAGACTGAATCATTTTTATGCAGCTAAAAGAAATTAAGATCAGAACTATGTAAGATCAGAATTCAGTGTCAAATCCTGGATCTAAAGGAAATATGTTTTAGCATATAGCTCTCAGTGCTTTATGAAAGTGGCAACAGAAATTTGCATTGTGAAGAAATCGATAAGCAAATTATATGTTCCTACACTCACGTTTATTCGTATGACAAGTTCCACTTGATTATTGAGTCAGAAATTTACAATAAAAATTATGAGGCTTAATTAATCCACTTCACTGATTATAAGTTGTCCAACAACTTAAGATAACAAGTAAAAGGAACAATGTCAGTTGCATTTTGTTACAACTTATTTAGTAAGTTCTATTAAATACAAAACCAAAGTATTCTTACACAAAATGTATTTTTTCAGTGTTTTGAACTCAGAAATCATTAGTTTCAGGCAACAGACAAAATTTGCTGAGTAAGCTTGGAAGGCAGATAATAGTCATCTATCTGGGCTTTACTATTAGATTACAGTCAACATGAAAAATAAAAAACGTGAGAAAAAAGTGTTTGACCACGAGACCTGAAATAGTCACTGTTTTAAAGCCGGCTGAAGTGGCTGGGTGCAGGTAATCTGGAGGTACTTTTGGAGTTTTATTTCCTCCATCAATATAAGATTTTTTTAATAGTTGTTTCTAACTTCATGACTGCTTACATCTCAATTAGTCAGAAGAGATGATTACATAGACATGCAGCTATACACACAAATACTTTTTAATTCTTTTCATTTGTGAACCTTTCTCCAGAACTGAACAGGAACCAGAGATCAGGAAAGTTTGGAAAGTTAGTTATCTTCAGTTTTGCAGAAAACTAAGCGTTTCAGTCATGCTTTAAATTTCACACAACAGAGAGAAGAAAATTCTGTATTGGGGGAGGGTAATTTTGCTGAAAGCAGTGTTCAGTGCTAAAATATCAAAATGCCTTTTGGGGCACAAGCACTATTCCACCAGGGAGAAAAAAACAGCCAACATCTTCACTGAGCAGCTGTGGCCAAAGTAGAAAACACTAAAAATGGACTGAATTTATGAGCACATAGGTTACTGCATGAAGTTAATCACAAATTATGAATATTCTTACAATTCCGGCAGTTTGCATGCACATTTTAACCTTCCCCCCAAAAAAAAAGTTCTTCCTGGATGCTTTGAAAAGGAACAAAAGCTTCTGAAGTATCAGAAAAGTCTTCAGAAAAGCTCTGCATGAGAGTCCTCTGCCATAGCATTAGGACAAAGCTGGAGCTTAACACTCACGTTTAGCTACTGCAGGCCTGAATGCTGGACACAGCTGAATCCTTGGCTGTACTCACAGCCCAAAGAGGGCATGCTGGATGAACTGGAGGAGCAGGTTCATAACTCTGAGCAAAAGCCCATGTTTTAACTGAACTGGACCAGCCTGCTGGTATGTGTTAAAGAAGCTTAAGGCTTGCTCTTATTTATATGGCATACCAGTTATCATAAAGACTCAGAGATCACCTGGATATTATCTGGGTTCATAACCTAGGTTCTCTCAGAAAGTTACAGCTGGCAAAAGTGACACCAGTTTTTTTCCCAGCAGATTTTTCCCAGATCTGTGAAGTTACATGTTGCTTTAAAGTAGCAGAGCTGCAAAAAATTAACTGGAACACAGCTCGGAACTGCAACAAACTGATTTTTCAGTTTGGCTTTTGAGGTACGGCTATAACAGGTGTAAAAAAGAGTAGCTATCCTCAAACAATTTTCACGTCTAAAACACAGCTTGCTCAGCCCTCTGGTTGGTGGTCCACTGTCTAAAATTGCTTATTATCGGTTGAAACTAAGCAGCAATGAAGTGATGCAGAATGTGGAGTTTGCTGCATTGTATTGCTTAAAGAGCAAAGTTGCTTTCCCAAGACTGGTGGCCACAGCTCTAGGCATCCAGTGGAGCACGTGTCAAAGTTATCTCTCAAGACTAAATACGCACAGACTTCCTGCAGAATAAGGAGCCTATTCAGACTGCAGACTTACTGCACCATGTGTGCCTCATTAATTATTATTCTTCATGTTTTAATTGTTATTATTTTACTGTGCCCAAGAGGAATATAGATTTTATGTCATCTGTTAAAGACACAATTAGAAGAACTAGGCTCAAAGGAGTAGCAGAGGCAGATGGTATACTGGCAGTTAAATTTATAAAACTCTTCTCTCAAGTCTTGCCAGGAAGCAGAATAGCTTTCTGCTCTTTTTTTTTTTCTTTTGCTTTCAGGCAAACAGTTTATTTCAAGATGAGTTTGCTGTATGTGAGAGGGTAGAGAAGTACGATTGGGTTTCTCATGAGTTCTGACATTCAGAAAAAACCCACAAGAAGCTAAAATTCTTTTGACTGAGTCACAAATCATTTATTCATAAATTCTTGCCACAGAGGAACCTCCACCAGTTTCTAAACCAAATAATACGTGCCATGTGTCCAGCTTCTTTTCTGTCTGTCACGTTTCTAGTTAACCTTGTTAACTGGGTTAGTGGAAAAACACTGGTATAATGTAACACAGGCAGTGACCTGCCAGATGACCTATGCAGATCAGATGAAGAATATCAATTTCAGGGTTGATTGGGGGTGTGAATAGGACCACTACTGCTAATAAAAACTAGGGATTTTTTGCAATCACATCCCTCACAGAAAAGCAGTAGCCTTTGGAGGTACCAGGAGCTGATCTGAACTGCAGGTGAGAGTGCAAGTGCTCACATACCAGAAAGAAGAAAAAAAGTTTACTGAAAGGGCAAGTAGTAAGGCTGTCAGGCAGCTAGGATTACTTGTTTAAATGGCATTTTGGGTCAGGAAGCAGCTGGTCTTAAATAAGCAAATACTGCTTAGAAATGTGTATTGTGCTCCATAAATATGGTGATATACAGGAGTTTGAGGATTTAAAGACCAAAAAGATATTACAGAGTTTTCTACTTTTCTGCCGATAAAATGTGGTAAAATTATATTAGAATTTGTAAATATTATACGAATGAAAGTTGTCAAAAAATGTATTTTTTATATAGGATAATTTGAATACACTTACGCTCCCTGCAGTGGGCAAGATTCTGCCAGTTTATGTATAAGAAAGTTTTGCAACACCCACATTTCCCATGCAGAGTATTTGAAGGCTCGGCTAAGCTGCATACTGAAGAGCTTTAGTTTCACGGACACATTATTTAGCTATGCTTGTACGGTCTCCTCCTTTCTCTAGCACCTATACACAGCAAATACTTTATCCTGTGCACTTTTACCCAAGCGCCGCATGGATGGGTGGATGAAACTGAGACCTCTCTTGCTTTGCTGCTGCCTGTGCATAGTAGAGCGGCACCAGACACATTCACAAGAATCTTCTTACGAGCCTCTAGTGAGTTGACCAGACCTGGTGAAAACACACGTTTCAGATATTTTTTTTTTGGGGGGAGAGGAGAAAAAAAGAAAACGTTCATGGATTCTGCCATTCTTTCCAGCCACTTTAAAGAACAACTGAATGTTTTCAAATATTCCAAAACGTAAAAAGGAATAGCTTGTTTCAGATAAGTAAATCAGTTATGTCTTTCCCATCTAACTTATTGGCCCAGGCAATGGAAGAGATATATATTATACCAGAGAGAAGAAACTGTTACTAGTGAAGTGATTAGTCTGTAAGTCCCCAGAAAAGGAGCCCCAACATTATCAGTATATTGCTCTGCTTTCTTTCTTCAAAGGAGTCAAAAGTGCAATTAGCTATGCAGAAACATAACTAAACAGTTCAAGTCCCCTTGAGTTTATGTGGAAATGTGACTGGGAACCTGATTGATCATAGGTTCCTGGGTCCAACAGTCCCTTTCGTCAGTTCATCGTCATCATCTGAAAATTGACACACATTTTTTCCATATCATTTTTATGCAAAAGCTCTTTATCTATTGCCTCATAGTTTCTTGTACCCATGTTACAGTTTAGCTTAAATAACTCATGTTCTGCCCATTGGAAGTAAATCTAGAGCGGGTGTTGCTGGGGGACACGCTGGTGGCCACTGGAGAGGAAGGAGACAGGAAAGACATCCAGACATGGCTCCTTCACACAACAGACCTGTGCACTGTGGTGATGTTTATGGAGATCTTAATTCTTACCAGTGTTATCAGGAACATCTCCAAGGCCTATATCTATGCTGAGAATCAAATCAGCATCAGGAATAGATCCCTAGCTTGAAAGCCAAAAAAAAGGTACAGACAACTTTGTGTGCACTTTGCTGACAGCAAGCCTCTCCTGTGCTAAATTGCCTTGCAGTTAATTCTGATTTTCCTTCTGGGATTTCTCTCTGGTCAGACTATGGGTTTTGGTTTTGTGTGTGTGTGTGTTTGGGTTTTTTTGTTGGTTGGTTGGTTGTTTTTTTTTTTTTTTTTTGACTTTTTTTTTTGTTTTGTTTTGCTTTTTTGGGGTTTGGTGTTTTTTGGGGTTTGGTGTTTTTTGGGGTTTGGTGTTTTTTGGGGTTTGGTGTTTTTTGTTTTTTTTTAACTGTAAAGATTATCACGCCCCAAAGCTTTTTTGATCAAATCCGCAACAAGATGTGACAGTCTCAGATGTCTCAGAGATACGCATCATAGAAGATGTCTTCGGGAGAGGAAAGGAAGACCGTACTGATGTCAGTTTTCCTCTGGCATTTCTCTGGTGTACCTCTGGAGGGCAGTGTCTAATCTGACACCTGAAGGTCCATGTGAGAGAGAGGGATTGGCAATACCTTCACTGTCACTTGAAAGATAAGAGACACCAGAGAATCCAAATGAGAGATACAAACCAGATACTAGACTTCCTTAATTCTGATGAGGTTTATAAAGGCCATGGATTTAGAGCAAGAAGGTAATAAAGGAAGGACTAAATTCTTGACCTGGTTAGTAGTAAATAAACACTGAACTGCTGTGCATGTCAGCTCTGTGCCTGAGAGCTCCAATAAATGTCTGGCTTCTGTAAGACTAGGGAGATGAGGAGTTCACAGGTGTGAGGTGCTTTTACCAATGTTGCTTTAGTACCAATGATGTTACCTCAGTCTTTATTCTGTCCCATTGGCAACCAAATGGGAATATAGCCGTGAGTGATCACCTAGCTGTGCTGCTTATGCACCTCTTTCCAGTCAAAATGTGCTGAGTTATTCAGAATCTTTTTAAAATGCCTAAATTAAACTAACTTGTTTTTCTCAACCCTGGGGATCCCTCATAATAAGTTTAGAAATTTTTAATAGTTAATCTGAGCAACCCAACTTGTTTCACCTGAACTGTGCAAAAGGAGCATTATCAGCAAAATGTCAAGAGTGTGTGTCCAACAGCTGGGGAACAGCTGGCAAGTGGTGACCCTCTCAGCAGAAACAGCTGTTCACAGAACACACCTGTTGATGCCTGTGTTTCATTCACCCTTATATCCTAGTAAAGTGGCATGGGGATGTGTACACTGAAATGTTAGCTACCTCAGAACTAGGAATGTAGTCAACTTCTTTGGGCGTCTTGAGAGATGAAACATCTAGGAGGTAAAGGTAATAGAAACAGATGATGTGAATTAACCAACTGGAGTGTGAATGAATAAACTGTGTGTATGCCTGTCTTTTGGGTGCTATGCGCTTAACATTCAATTTACATGAGCTAGCTAATGTTTAGAATACTAAATTAGGGAGGATAATTCTCACTCTTCGGATACATTAATTCTATTTTTTGTATATGTAAAATATGTGAAAAAAATTGAAAATGCCCATAGATATATAGCTATGGGAGATATTTTCTCTGAAGAACTTTGACTTTCAAAAAACCGAACGATATCAGAAGGAAAATCTGTGTTTATATAATTTCTCAGACAATCTAGCAAGAATTAAGGAGGTATTGGAATTAAAGATAACCACTCACTATTCTCTGACCTGGACAGATAATGGACTTAAAATTTCCTGAAGTGTCTACCAGAGATAGTCTTTAAAATAATCAGATCACATTTTATGTTGTTTTTCTTTTTTTTTTTGAATTTACAAATTCTGCAATGACATTTTAAAATAAAAATGAAGAATTGTACAGTATGTAATTCCTATATTAATGTCTGTATTTCAGTGTGTGTACATGCATTCCCTGTGGTGGATGATACATTGCAATCTTTAGAATAAAATAACACAAAATTTGATATGTAGAGTATTATAAAAATAATATTAATGGTTACACATTCACTATTGTTCCTAGTAGGGAAATAACAATAAAAGTAAGATATTAGTCAGTAAGTGATTTTGTAATTATTTTTGGTTTTTCAAAGGTACTTCTGAAACAAAGATGTAGAAGCAAAGAATAGAATCATAGAATAGATTGGGTTGGAAAGGACCTTAAGATCATATAGTTCCAACCTTCCTACCATGGGCGGGGGCACCTCACACTAAACCATGTCACCCAAGGCTTTGTCCAACCTTGAACACTGCCAAGGATGGAGCATTCACAACCTCCCTGGGCAACCCAATCCAGATCCTCACCACCCTCACAGTAAAGAACTTCATCCTTAAATCCAGTCTAAACTTCCCCTGTTTAAGTTTGAACCCATTACCCCTTGTCCTATCACTATAGTCCCTAATGAAGAGTCCCTCCCCAGCATCCCTATAGGCCCCCTTCAGGTACTGGAAGGCTGCTGCTATGAGGTCTCCAAGTAGCCTTCTCTTCTCCAGGCTGAACAGCCCCAACTTTCTCAGCCTATCTTCAAGAGGTGCTCCAGTCCCCTGATCATCCTCGTGGCCCTCCTCTGGACTTGTTCCAACAGTTCCATGTCCTTTTTATGTTGAGGACACCAGAACTGCACACAATACTCCAAGTGAGGTCTCACGAGAGCAGAGGAGAGGGGCAGGATCACCTCCTTCGACCTGCTGGTCACGCTTCTTTTGATGCAGCCTAGGACACGGTTGGCTTTCTGGGCTGTGAGCGCACACTGAAGCCGGCTCATGTTCATTTTCTCATCGACCAGCACCCCCAAGTCCTTCTCCACAGGGCTGCTCTGAATCTCTTCTCTGCCCAACCTGTAGCTGTGCCTGGGATTGCTCTGACCCAGCTGTAGGACCTTGCACTTGGCATGGTTAAACTTCATCAGGTTGACATCAGCCCACCTCACAAGCATGTCAAGGTCCCTCTGGATGGCATTCCTTCCCTCCAGGGTATCAAGCGAACCACACAGCTTGGTGTCATCGGCAAACTTGCTGAGGGTGCAGTCAATCCCACTGTCCATGTCAACGACAAAGATGTTGAACAAGACTGGTCCCAGCACTGGGGCACCACTCGTTACTGGTCTCCATCCGGACATTGAGCCATTGACCACAACTCTTTGTGTGTGGCCATCCAGCCAGTTCTTTATCCACCGAGTGTTCCACCTATCAAATTGATGTCTCTCCAATTTAGAGACAAGGATGTCATGTGGGACAGTGTCAAACGCTTTGTACAAGTCCAGGTAGGTGACATCAACTGCTCTACCCCTGTCCATCAGTTCCATAGCCCCATCATAGACGGCCACCAAATTGGTCAGGCAGGATTTCCCCTTAGTGAAGCCATGCTGGCTGTCACCAAGCACCTTGTTGATTTTCATGTGCCTTAGCATGCCTTCCAGGAGAATCTGCTCCAAGATTTTGCCAGGCACAGAGGTGAGACTGATTGGTCTGTAATTCCCTATGTCAAATTACAGATGCAATTCATCTGTATTTTAGAAGTGACAGTAAAATAAAGG